TAGGGAAAGCAGGGCCCAGACCTTGCAGGGGTCCGGGAGTGAGGAGCACCCTCCCCAGGGTCTGGCCATGCCACGATCTCCAGCTCTACTGGCCCTGGGCACTCGTATGCATGCTTGGTGTATTTTAGGCTGACCGGCCAGGGACTCGAACCTTGGTCATCATGTGAGACCTGGCTTCTTGAGCAGTGCTTTATCACTGCACCACAGACCCAGTCTCCTGGGACCACCCCCCCTGTACACTATACTTTCTCACACTCAGTCTATTTTTTCTCTCTCTCTCTTTTATACCAAGAGTTTTTTTTATAAAGAATTATTTTATTTAACTTTATTTATCTATTTATTTATTTACTTTCATTTGAACACAGAGAGGGCTAGAGAGAGAAAGAAAGTGAGAAAGCGAGCCACCAGGTCTGGGACTCAAACCGTGGTCAGCCATGTGGGAGTCCAGCGCCTTTAACCACCTTGCCATCGGGCAGCCACTGTACCATGAGCTTTTTTAAGGTTAGGGACTGAGATGTATTTATTTATGTCTAGTTGGTGCTGAGCATGGAATCAGGTATATGAGGGGACTTTGAAATGTCTGTGGAAAAATGGAACTAAAGTTATGAGATTATTTGGTGCAAAACATTCTGAAATCCACGCATAGTTGTTTCCTAAGTCATACGTGCCGCGAACTTCTGGAAGACACTCCTCATATGTAGGTACTCAATCAATGTTCGTTACTTGCATATTAATGTATCCGATCTTTGATAGTAACATGGCCAATATTTAACAACAGCATGCAGTATGCCTTTAAGTCACATATTAGTGCTGAGAATGCGACTTTCATAATGCGAGCATCTCTGCTATAAAATACATATATTCCTGTAAATCTTTACCTTCTGAAAAATCCAAAAGTCACAGAATTGGGGATAACAGGGTTACAGAACATCACTCACAATTCCCACAGCTCTGTAACAAAACAATCCTACTGATGACAGTAGCGTAACAAAAATGCCATGCTAAATTTTAAATTAATAAAAATATATATAATCAGCAGATGGCGTGATGGTTAAGGGCACTGGACTCCCACTAGGCCAACCGTGGTTCAAGTCCGGACCTGGCGGCTTGCTTTCTCACTCTTTTTCTCTCTCTCTCTCCACTCTGTCCCTCTCTGGTCAAATTTTAATTAATTAATTAACTAAAGTTAAATAAGATAATTGTTTTTAAATTTTATTTATTATATTTTTTTGGAGAAGTTTTTGCTATAGGGTGCGTATGCTCTCCAGAAAGACAGAGAGAGAGAGAGAGACAAAAAGGGAGAAATCACCCCCCAGGGGGGATGGCCACACGGCAATCCCTTCTCCTCCATCCCTTCTCCTCCATTCTCCTCTCGGGATCTTGGGCACTCACGCACATGCTGCCTGTGGGAGTTTAGGCCACCGGGTCCTGGACTCAAACCACAGTCAACTACATGGGAGTCTGCTGGTCCCCCAGGGCTATATTTTAAAAACAAAAAGACCTAACTAGAAGAAGGGATTAGAGAAGGTTTGAGAGGCAGTTTAGAGACAGGAGTGAGCAGTCCTTTATCTGCAGCTGGCTACAGGGCCGAGCAGTTGCAGGCTTTGCTACAATGCAGCAGAGATGGCCTTTTCACAGAGATGAGCAGAACTGAGCAAGCAGCACTTCCAGGACAGAGCATGTAGCCATGCAGAGCCGAAAGGAAGAGCATGGAGCCGGTGGGCAGTACGGAGGTCCCTGTGGCTTACTACCGTCAGGGCACTGGGCCTCCAGGGCCGTTACTTGGGGGTACAACATAGAATGTGCTGGAAGCAAATGCCGGCGGCCCCATACTATTTGCACACGTCACTGTGATGGCCCTAGCTGAGCTAATCAGCCTTATGAGCAAGCGGAGTAAACAAACAGGCATCGGGACTGATTGATAAACCGAGAATGCCAGCTGGCTGGTTTCCGTTGAGAAAAGCACCCTCTGTGCATTGCGGACCGTTTTCCTCTTGGCCCGTGAGTCTAATCAGCCAAGCCACCTTACCAGGAGGGTGTGAGCAGGACTACGTGGCGTTGGTGACACCATTCGAGAGCGTCGCAACCTGGGTTATGCTGGCCCTTCATCGGAAACGGCTGGACCACCTTGGTCATACGTCTGGACTTGCAGCCAGGGGAGAGGAATCCCAGCCTGCCTGAGAGCCGTGTGACCTCAGGAAAGTCCCTTCCGCTCTCTCTGCTTTAGTTTCTCAACTGTAAAACAGCTAGTGATGTCCCCCTCAAGTCTGGAGCCTGTTAGCGGGAGGAGAGAAAGCTCTTCCTAAGCCATAAAGGGCTTTGTGGGGGTACTGTCCTACCTACCTGGCAGTGCCTGGAACACTCAGCTCTGTGTCACTGGGGACAGGGAGGGGGCTTCTCCTGCTGGATGGTTCATTCTAAGGGCGGTGGGCGAGACAGCTCAGCTCCCTGGAATCAAATGAATTTATCACTGAGATCAAATGCAGAAGCTTGGGCAGGAAGGAGGCCCAGAACTTTTCATCAGGGGATTTCTCTGGCCCTTGACAAAACCAAGCAGGAGAGGATACGGCCCCCGGCCTCAATGGCTCCCTGTCCGAGCCCGCTGCAGTCCACGGGGGACAATCACCCCCACGCCAGGGCCTGAGGTCACGGCCACCACTGGCAGCCTACCCTGCCCTCGGCCACCCTGTTCTCATTCTGCTTCCCCACGTAGTGCAGTGTAGAGGAGCGCAGGCTTCCGAGTCGCATGGCGGAGGCTTTCAGTCCATACAGCCACCCACCCGCACTGTACCCGAGTCCTCACCTGGAGAACCTCCTCCACTTCCTCCCTTCCATGGCCAAGAGGATTATGTAAAAACTGTGCTTTGCAGACTTGAATGGGCCCTGGAATCACCCAAGGTTCTTGTTAAAAAGGAATGTCTGGGGGACCAGCAGTTAGCGTAATGGCTATGTCGCTGGACTCTCATGTAGTCCACTGTGGTTCAAGGCCCAGACCTGGTGGCTTAAACTCACACCGGGCACGTGTGCGTGCATGCCCAAGATCCTGAGAGGAGAATGGAGGAGAAGGGTTTGCGGCATGGCCATCCTCCCTGGGGGGTGATTTCTCACTTTCTATCTCTGTCTCTCTGGCGACCGCATGCACCCTATAGCAAAAAGCTCCCCAAAAGCAAAAAAAAAAAAAGGAATGTCTGATTCTGCAGGGCTAGGGAGACTTGAGACCCCACCTGCAAGGAGCTCCCTGGTGGGGCAATTTCTCCTTGGAGGAGCAAAACTCGCTTGGGTGCCTATCGTGGCATGGTCCTCAGGAAACAGAACTCCCCCCCACCCCCATCTTAAGATTGTCTTTTTTTCCCAGTCCTAATTTTCTCCTTTCAGGATAGGGATGATTAAAAAAAAATCTCTGCTCCTCTCAGAATTTCTCAGAATTCTCTGAGAAACAAGAAAAAACAAGTTTTGCCTTGAAGGCGGGCTGGGCTCTGGGGTTGCAGGGCCGCCTGTCACAGGGGCTGGACTGGGCCTTCGCTCCCGCACACGTGCGCCACAGGTGGCCCGTGCCCGGCTGCTGCGGGAGCCTCCAGGGCTCAGGCCCCAACTTGCCATGCCGAGAACACAGCCACCGAGCCAGCCAGGCGCACGCCTTGTTCTTCCAGCGACAGCTCTCCCGAGGAATTTTCAGAGCACACAGGGTTCGCTTGGCAGGAGTCTCCCAGGATATAAATACGCTTTGGGGGCTTGGTTTTAAGGACTGCAGTATCTTTTCGACTCGAGGCCTGAGCACAGAGCTTCCCTGCTTCCCCCTCACCAAAATGGAACCATGAACCAGCCGCCGCCGCTGGGAACAGACACGGGAGACTCTAGGAGACTCCGAGCGAGCTCGGAGAGAGGCCTCCCATCCCATGCGGTCGCGCCTTTGGCTTTGCTCTTCGAAACAGCCTGCTGACTCATGCAGAGTGAGGGTCTTTTTTTTTTCCCCTTCTCAGAATCGCCACCAAGGCTGGAGATTTGGAGGTTGGTGCATGAACAGCTCGGCCCTGTCGCTGCCTTACTTCTACCCTCTCCTCCTCCATCCCAGCCCCCCAATGACTCAGTCCTGCCAGGAGCGATGGACACCCGAACGCTCGGCCCGGCTTTTAATATTGAGCTTCTCTTCCCTGCAGGTCCTGACGCACCAGCTGCCCTTGGAGCAAACCGTAAGGAGATTCCCAGGATGTGAGCACACGGGACTGGTGAGTGCTGCTGTGCTTGGTGACAGTCAGGGCCCAGGCGGGGTTTCAGGAAGGGGAAGGAGGGGAGTGGGAGGGGCGGGCAGTGGGGCCTTGCGGCTGACCCTGCGGTTCCATCCGGCCGTGCACACCTGGAAACAGCGCTGCGCAGAGCTCCCAGCTGTGGGCCCTGCGGTCCCTCCCAGATGGCCGGGTGGCTGGGCCGTCCTCTCTGCTCGACAGCAGCTCAGGCTCATTATCAGAGGGCGTGGGCTTGGAGTGGTTTAGGCAACCTCTAGCTGGGGCTGAGAGAGTCTTGGAGCAGAGAGGAGCCAGCTGGTGAGCCCCACGTGACGGGCTGTAGACCCGACCTTAACAAAAAACGGCCGTGCATGGGCGCCAGAGGCGTCTCGGGGAGGTGGTGAGTTTCTCGTCACTGGCAGAATTCAAACTGAGGTTGGAGAGATGTCAAAGAGAGAGAGAAGTTTTGTGTAGACAGCCTTTTACGGACAGTTTCCTGGTGACCTAGGATCCCCTGAGGGCAGGGCAGTAGGTGGTGGAGGGTGGCTGAGGGTTTGGGGACACCCAAACGAGGCCAGCTGGAGCTCGTCCGGCAACCTCAGCCCTGCCTCAGGAAGCCTCTCAGAAGCCGCGGGGTGAGGTGACCCCCAGGTCTCTCCTATGACTCGATGCCCAATAACTGGCTGTATCCGACTACGGCCAGGCAGCGGCGTGTCACAGGCGTGATCCCAGTCGCGGTGTCCGACAGGTGGGCAACTCCTGGAGCAGGACAGGAGTGGTGCTGGGCAGCCCCGGGAGCTGTCTCCCATGCCAGGACCACCAAAACAGTCCCCAGCTAGTTATGCCCTGGAAGGATCTGTTCCAGGACCCGGACCACATGGCCAGATGAAAAGGCACATGTGACCAGACTCAGGCACCTCCACTCCCCAGGGCCCTGAGGAGGCGGAGCGGGTCTGGCCCAGGCCATGGCTGCAGGAGGACAGTGAGCTCGGCTTCACCCAGGGAGGAGGGAGGGAGTCCATGGGCCCTCTGGCAGGGGCAGGACCAGCCCCAGTATGCAGTGACCAAAACTTGGCCTGCTGAGCGTGAGAAAAGTGGCACTCTGGACCCCAGTGGGAAATGACGCGGGAGGGACACCCATCGCGCATGGGAGAGCCTGGATAATGAGAGCACAGGCCCCCTTTGTGTTTGATAACTGGGTCTTCTTCCCCAGGGTCCGGGTCAGCTGCAGCAGTAAATATTTACCAAGGACCCCTGAGGGCAGGGCGCTGGGAGAGGCCAGAGACAGGCTTTTTCTCTAAGGAGCTGACAGCCTGGATGAGAATGGAGTTTGACAGTGGTTGTGCCCGGCCGCATGTCAGCCGAGGCCTGTGCACCTCTCAGGAGGCTGGGGGATGAGGAGGGCAGGAGGGCTGGGGGAGGTCTGAACAGTGAATCTGCGTCATGACTCGACTCTTCCATGCGAGTCTCCAATGAGAGTTGAGCTTTGCGGACAGAAGCCAGCTCCCTGCATTCACAGAACCTGGTTCATAGTAGGTGCTCAGTAAATGGCTGTCAGAGGAAGAGACAAGGAGGCAGTCCAGGGAGGCTGCAGTCGAATCAGGTGTAAAATGCAGGGAGAAATGGGACGTACCCCATAGGAAGGCTGTGAGGACTGAACGGACTCAGGTGAAGCTGCCTGGCCCCGAGCCAGTACGTAGTAAGCGCTCGGTAAATATTCCCCCTGCTCTACATGTGGGGCGTGACCTCGGCTTATGTCTCAGTGCCGGAATAGGAAGCAGCACAGGTGGGAGCACAAAGCCCTGGGCTGGGGGTTAGACACCCTGGCATGGCTGTAGGAAGGGGGCCGAGGAGGCAGTGATTCCCCTGAGCCCGTTCTCCAGAACGAAGACGCTTGCAAGAAGGAGGGCAAGGCGGCGCCATTGCTGCCGCTCCGTCCCTCTGCGGGTCCTTCCTGGTTCTGACGCGGAACCAACGCCAGCAACAGCTCTGCTGTGTTTTACCAGCTGGGGGCCTCACGGGCAGTGCTGTGACTTCTCAGAACGGCCCTTCCCCCAGGAAATGGGGCTCCCGGAGCGAGCCTCCTTCCCTCAAGGAAGATGTCTTGGAAACCAAAAAGCACTAGCACAAGAGAAAGATTCTGGGGAACCAGCAGTTAGCGTAATGGTTATGTCGCTGGACTCCCATGTAGTCGACCGTGGTTCAAGGCCCGGACTTGGTGGTTTAAACTCACACTGGGCGCGTGTGCGTGCGTGCCCAAGATCCTGAGAGGAGAATGGAGAAGAAGGGATTGCGGCATGACCATCCCCATCTGGGGGGGTGATTTCTCGCTTTCTGTCTCTCTGTCTCTCTTTCTGTCTGGCAAATGCACACGCCCTATAGCGAAAACCTCTCCAAAATTAAAAAAAAAGAGAGAGAGAGAAAGATTCTGTGGATTTGAATGGAAAATCATTGACAACGCGAGCTTGGGTAGCACAGTCTTGAGCCCCACGGTCAACGTCGGTTCCCTGTCCCTCCCCCCAGAGAGTTCTCGCTGTCTCCAGAGCTAGAAGACAGTGTGTCACTGGAGTCTCTGAACAGGACCCCACTTTGCAAAAGGCTCCACCCCCCACCCCAGACTTTGCAGCATAATTCAGGTAACAATTGTATTTGTTTGAAACACACGTCAGGGCCCCATTTCTAACTGGTGTAGCAGCCCTGGGGCTATGGAAGGAGCTTGCTCAGAGGACTGTCCCATCTCACCCTGGGACCCAACGCCAGCAACAGCTCTGCTGTGTATTACCAGCTGGGGGCCTCACGGGCAGTGCTGCGACATCCCTAGCTGGATGGTGGGATCTAGTGTCTGCCAAATGGTTTGTGACGCCACCACAGCACACAAACACCTGTGTTTTAGGGCTCTAGAGCACCTGCACAGCCTTGGCGTCTCCCAGGCGGCCACAAGCTCATGTCCACATTGGATGGGAAGGGAGCGGGGAGGACAGGATCAATTGGTTGTGGCTGCCAGCATCCCTGTGCTACAGCACTTCCGAAAAGAGTATGCTGGGATGGATTAGTGATGTCTGTCAAAGACGCAAGAAAGAGGACTAGCCACTTTTCAGCATCCCTCATTCCAGTGATTTCTAAGACTACTTCCTACCTTTGCACTGTGTGGTTTCATGTCGATAGCCTTGTTTTACATTACATTAAAGCCCAGCAAAGCGTCATTAATCTGGGGCCGGCATGTGGCATAGTGGTTAAGGGTGCTGGACTCCCATAATGGCTGACCACAGTTCGAGTCTTGGACCTGGCAGCTTGCTTTCTCACTTTCTC